ACAGCCTCTCATAGGGGATCCTGGAGCCCAGCGGGGAGCCTCTCCTGTCGGCTGCACGCCGCGCTGCTGAGGGTCCCACTGCTGCCTGCAGGTCCTGCTCCTTCAGGCTCTTCTGGGGCAACTGCTCCTACCCCACTGGCTCAGCTCTTGCTAGCTCTTCGAGACTCCTTCCCTATGGTCCCTTGCTGGTCTCCCCTGAGTCAGCCCACACTGCCCCTTTTATCCCCCTCCAGGTGACCCAAGGGACCAATCAGGGGACATGGAGGGTGAGTCTCTGGGGCCTGATTGGTGAGGAAAGGGAATCCCAAGTCCTCCAATCATCTTTTACCCCTTCAAAACCCCTGGGCTAAGTCACTGCTAGCTAGCCTGTCACATGTTTATCTGACCCCAGGTTGCCCTCCAGGCATCCCTTAAATCTCCCTTTTCCCCAGCTCTGTCCACCGTGGCAGCCTCCTATTTACTGCCCGCTTAACCCAGCTGTTTCTTCTTGTCCTCTTTGGTGTGGTCTCTTTCCTTCTCCCTTAGCGGTGCCAGTTTCCTCCCTCTGGGTTTGAGCCCTGGCAGCTGAGTTTGCTGCGGCAGCCTTTGATCTGCCATGGCCCCAGCCGGCTCCTTTAATTGTCTGTGCCACGGCGTTCTTCCCATCCATGTTTGCCATGGTTCTTCCTGCATCTCAGGGTAAGTTCTTCTTCTTTTTTCTCTTTCCATCTGGTGTTCCCATGGCAGGGTACTTCAGTTACCCTGTCACAATAATATTATATATGACCCCTATAATATAATAATTATATAATTTAATAAATGTTACAGGCAGATTTCTTGAAAAATGCAAAAATTGGTCCCAGAAAAATTTTTACAAAACAAAATATTTCAAACAGATCTTTCATACTACTATACTTATCATCATCATTTAGATTTATATCCCACATGTACCTGGAAAGGCTCATATCAGTCTTCTCAAATGAAAATGTTAACACTGGAAAGAGAGAAAGCATTGGCATTGGCCAGCAAGTTAGGGACACTGCAGGGACCCCATCCCCCTGCTCTACCTGTAAGCAAGTTAAAAGGCATTTTTGATGTTTCAGGTATGATGCCTGGTACTTGGCATGAGGGTTGTTCCTGGAGTTTTTAAGAATAGTTTAGGCAATGACTTGTCTAGGATGCTCCTTCCTCAGGCAAGGGGGTGGGCCTAGATGACCTCCAAGCCCTACTTTTCTTTGATCCTATGTCTTCTGACACTTTGTGAAGGTGTTCTTAAGAATATTTATTAAAAGGATTAAAATTTAAGTCACCAAATTAGTAATGACATAAGCCATATTCCTGCAAGTGCTTTTGCTTGGGTCTCATTTCAAGCATAGGATGTCACAGTGCTTGGTAATGAAGTAGGTAAGTAGGTAGTGTCAGTATCTATTACCATGGAAAATAATATTTAATTTTTGTTTTCCTGGGAAACTTAATAGTTTGATGTTTAGCCCCAGTTTGAAACAAAAGAGGAATCCTGAGACAGCAGGACTTCACTCTTTGCCGTAAACTTTTAAAAGGCTGTCTTATTCTTATCAAAATGTCTCACTATATCATTCCTTCTTTACCACCTTAATTCTCTTTGTAAGTTTGTACTGTACAAACTCTTGAGCTCTTTGTACATTTTTAACCTCCTTTTAAGTTACACCAAAGATTTTTGTGATCTTCAGTAGGCCAAAGCCTAGGCCCCAAGTGTATGGAATGCAGGTCATTTCAATTAGCACAATTAAAACCTTTATACAGCAGCACAAAATCATCTGGGTTGCTTATGTTATACATTTGACAGCAAAGCTAATGTCTGCATTTTAGTATACCTCACTGATCCTGTCCTAGGCGTATTGTATTCAACTTCTTGCCATGAGTCTGACCTCCTGAGAAGAATTATGCCTAATGGGCACATCCACACATGCAGGCATGTGCACTTGCAGCAGCACAAGTAGGAGTGGCACAAATTTGTGTTAGAGCTTTTTGCCTCAGCGCATGTACCTGAACATGCAATTTGGTATGGGGCAAATCATGCCACTTGGGGCAAATTGACCATGCCCAGCTCCTCCCGGATTTTCAGCCAGGGGGAACTAGAGCCTGGAGCCAGCACCTGCACTGGCCTTGGCAGTATAAAAACCTGCCCTGGCAAGCAGCTCAGGGCTACTTGCCCTCAGGAGCTTCTGAGAGAAAGGTGGCCATGCTCCTTCCTGTCCCAGGCTGCTGCTGTTGTTGCTATTTGCTGCAAGTTTGGACTCAGGAGCTTCTAGGGAGAAGATGGCCAGGCCCTTTCCTGCCTCTGGCTACTGCTAGCTGCTGGCTTGGTCTCAGAGCTTTTGGGGGTAAATTGGCTGCACCCCTTTCTGCCTTGGGCTGCTGATATTGCTGCCCCCCCCCCCGGGGCGTCCTGTGCTGCACACCACTGCCCCCCCCCTTGGAGAGGAGCCCACATCCTAGCACTGCACCCCAGCTTTTGTACCCCTGTTCCAGCCTGCTGCCCAGCCCACCCCCAAGTCGCGGTTGGGAGACAGCCCAGGGAGGGAGCCTGGGCTGCCTGTGGGCCTCTCCCCCACCATCACTGCAAGAACCAAAAAGTGCCTTGCCTGCCCTAGCTGCCGTGGCAGGCCACCCCCCCGCCTTCACCTCCACTTTCACCTGAAGCACACTCTGAGTGGCTGATTTGGACAGCTACTTCCATCACTGCTGTTGCTGCTGCCCCCTCTCAGGAGAGAGGGAGATTCCCTGGTGCACCACCTGACACCACACTTGCACTGGATTACTCCCTAATTGACTGATTGCTCCTGCCTTCCTCCAGAGCTGCCTCACTGCATCAGACCCTGCTTTGTCTTTTCTGCTTATTGCTCTGCTGCTCAGAGCCTGGCTGGAGGCCTGAGGGGCTTCTGGACTGATCTTCAACAAGCAAAGCCCCTCCACTGCTCCACCCATCTCTTACATCTGCCTCAGCAGCCTTCCCTGTGTGTTTTTGCCCTTGTGTGGTAACTCCTGTGGTCCGCTCCCCCTGCCCGTGCGCGCGTGTGTGTGTGCGTGCCTTCCCCCACATTCCCCAAGCATAGCCCTCCCAGTGTGTTTTCCTGTGGGGCTGTAGCTCAGTGAGCTTCAGCCCCCTTCTTCCCTGCCCTCCTCTTCTCCCACAACCCCAGACTGCCCTATTAGATCACCAGCACCACTGGAGATTTTGGTTTTCTTTATTGTCTTCCCCACCCTCATGTGAAACAGTGGCAGGGCAGGAACCTTCTGAGGGTGAAGATACCCCCACAGAGCTTCCTACAGCCCCCACTATGGGGGCAGATCCCAGCCAAGCCCTCAAGGGGATGCATACCCCTGTAGCCCCCACCCCAGAGGCAGAGTCTGATCAACCTCCTCTGGGGTACAGAAGCCTGCAACCTCCGCTGCAGGGGCAGGTGGGACTCCAGCAGGGAGCCAACAGGGCCACAGGATCTCCCCTGGCCAGGCCCCCCCCAGAGACTCCCAAGCCCCCTCTCCCACCATCAGGGACCAAGAGCAAGGGCAGTGGGAAGGGCTCCTCTTCAGCCTCCTCCATGGCTGGGGGTGGGAAGGGCAAGGGCCCCACCCCCAAGTATAGACCACCAGCACCTAAGGGGACCAAGTGCACTACACCAGCCAGCACAACCACTCAGTCTGTCCCTGCCCTAGCCACAGCCCCATCAACATGGCCCCCCAGCGGAGGAACCGCAGCTATGCATAGGCAGCTATGGGGTGACCCAAAGCCTTGAGACCTGGACCCTCCACCACTGGCCCTTCCAGCTTGGGCTCACCCATAGCCACAGGGAGAAGTGCAGGTCCTGCACGGTGGCAGTCCCTCCGTCTCCCTCCCCTCCCCTCCCCCATATCCCCCAGCCCATCAAAGTCTGTTGTGGAGCCGGTGCCTCACTTGGCCTCGCAGCACTCCCTACCCCACCACCTGAGCTGGCTAGAGGATACCAGCCTCCACTGTCCATCGCTGCCACCTCTACACACTCATGTGACACACGATCCATCATGCCACCCTCGCATCCTGCCCAGACACCAAGTGGCGGGACCTGCTCAGTGAGAGCATGGCTGGGGTACCCCAGTGACTGAGTCTGTACTCCACCCTCATCCCACAAGCCATTGGGGACCTCAGCTGGCAGTTCCTCCATGGAGCCATTGCCATGGGTGTGTATGTGGGAAGCTTCACAGACACCCCAGTCTCCTGCCCTTTCTGCGGGCAGAGGGAGATCCTGGCACACATGGCCCTCGAGTGCACCAGGCTGCAGCCCCTCCACCTCCAGAACCTCCTCCTGAGGTTCTGGCTGAATTTCATCACCCCCCTTTTTGTTTTTGGTCACCCCATCCTCAGCCCCACCAAGTTCCACGATCTCTTGGTCAACCTCCTCCGCAGTGGTGGGGCCAGTACTGGGAGATCCTTATCTCCCAGCTAGAGCCCTGTGGTCATGGGGCTCCAGCAGGGAGATAAGCATCTCCCAGCACTGGCCCTGCCACCACAGAGCTGGCACTGGGACAAAAGGCTCTCCCAGCCCCCCTATTACAATCTTGGAGGGAAGCTTGGAGCTCCCTGCTGCTGGGGCAGTGGGACATCTCCTGCCTCCTGGTTACCAGCTACACAAGCACTATACTGCACAGTAACTACTTGAGAGTAAATTTGCTACTTGCGTTTGCAGGTAGCAAATTTACTCAAGATTAGCGAGGTTTACTGCACAGAAAGCATGTGCACATGTAGACACACATGCTTAATGCACAGTAAATTATGCTACTTTCCAGTAGAGCATCTCTTGTGGACATACCCTGTGGTGTTGTAATGTGCTGCCATGTATAACTCTTTCATTTTCTTTTCTCACTGAAGTAGTGAGAAGATAAACCAAGTGCAATGGACTGATGACCTATTGGATGCAATGCAACCTTTCTCCCCCACCCCACCCCTATCTCAAACCACACTGTTGTATTTATTATAAACTTACCAGGAAGATCATTGTCATGTTATATATTGCGTAAGTGGGGAATGGTACCTGCTTGGCCTACCACTTTTCAGCCCTGACCACTGAATTTCTTTTGGGAGATTTACTGTAGCTAAAAGGAATGGAAAAATCAAACATGAGACAGCACCTAAGTAACAATGAAGATTGGGAGGATTGTAATTAACCTGTTCAAGTGACCAACAGAAATGCTTTTAATGGGGTATTTGATGAGGAGGGGGCATATAGGTGCTCACTGAGAGAGTGGAAGAGAGAATGCTTTCACAGATCCCCCAGGTTTATGTTGGTCTCTGCTAACAAGGCAGGGGAAGAAGTTTAATTGGATTCAGCAAACTTTGGAACTGTTGGGCCTGACTCTTCAAAAGGAGCCATCCAGCGAGTTTTTATTTCCTAGAGGCAGAGTGGAGCCTGGCACATCTGATGATGCCTGATAGAGTTATCAAGCCATGGCATAAACGAGAACTCTGGAGACCTGCTACCTTGCAGGATGAGCCAAAAAACAGCTGAGAGGGATTACTCAGCAGGAAACTGATGAGAAGCAGTCAGACAATACTGTGGAAACAATCTGACAAGGGAGGGGTCAGCAGTGAACAATTTCCAGCAGGGGGAAAGTATCAGAGCCACAGCTGCCTTTTCCTGTGCTGTTGGCATGATAGGCAGGACTGTGCCCAGCTGTATCTTTTATTGTAGAGCAGATGCTTGGCCTGACAATGAGGATTTCTCACTAAAATGCATCCCCTTTTTACCTCCTCAGCTTCTGAGCTATATTTGAGATGTACCCTCAGCATCTGGAAACATTGTAGCTGTTTCCCTGGCAAGAGGGAAAATTGCATAATTGGCTGGGTTCTTGGGGCAGCTCAAGCCTGGAACCAGCTTTCTGGCAGAGCATGTTGGATGAAGAGTGGACTGTGCATGTGTGGCTATGAGAGAGAGTTAGCCGTGTTACTCCAAAGCCAGGCAGAAGGCAGGGTAGACTTATACCTTATTGACTAACCTAAATGGGATCTATAGAGCATAAGCTTTCATGAACTCAAGTTCATTTCATCAGAGCAGAGTATAAAGTGGAGTGAGTAATATGAATACAAAAGGGGAGAGGCACAGTGCTGTGAGAAGCAAAGAACCCATAGGAACAAAAGGTGTCACAAAAGCCAGTCCAGATAATGGGATAGGAATCCATTGTCCCTGTTTAAACCAGGCGTAACACAAGCCAGTCTGTGGCTGATTTCTTGTTCTGCCATTTCCCATTCAAGCCAGTTTTTAAATGTTTGCTGCCTGAGAACAGCAATCCTGAGGCCAGCAATGGAAGCAAGGCTTGCAACCAGGAGTGTTACTGAGTGGGGGGTGACAGGAGCAGCAATCCTGGGTGCTTTCTTTGTGGGGTGGGAGGGTGTAAAAACCACCATTGCCAGAGTGGCAGCTGATCGAACTGCCATGATTGGCATGCCAGGAGCTGGTGCTGCCCCAGGCATTATGTAGCTGTATTGTTACACCTCTGCTTCCAGCAGCACATTTTGAAGAACAGCACAAGGTGACTTTGGCAGGAGTTCAGTCTGATGAGAAATCAAAACAGACCCGAATAGAATATATGCAGAGGTTCATCAGGAAATGCCATTTGTAGTTGCACAGCTCTTGTCTTGGTTTAAACTAGGCACAGATAAAAGGTGCTGAAGTGACCTGAGGGCCAATATTCTTCTGGACTGAGAAGACAGGAAGGCTCCTGTCCCCGCATATAGTTCATCTGAAGGCAACATCCTACCAACATCCACACTCAAGGCTCTTAGAAATCATAGCATCTTAATCCAACCCTCTGCTCAAAGCAGGAAAGCCGTGGTTCAGCTCAACACACTGAGGCTGCCAGACCTCCATTTATTCTTAGGATTTGGCCCCGGGGAGAAGGCAGGGCTCCTAGTGGGATATGCCAACCCTGGTTGAGAGGAAGCTCTGTCCTCCTTACATTTTAGGATGGTAGTTTCTGAACACAGAGGGGCAGCCAGCAAGCAGGCAAGGAACTTGCAAAATGACATTTTCAGAGAAGCAGAACCACAGCTACAAAAATTCCCTTCCTCCGTCCCTGCAGCTTTTCAGTCCTGGAGAGCTCAAAGTTCAAGAGATGTTTCAGAAGAAAATGGAAACAGAGCTGTTTTGTGCTACAGCAGCCACCTCCTGGCCTACAGCTTGCTTTTGCTTTCAAACTGGGAGGCTCAGAGAGAGCATTACTAAGGAGTCCCTCAGACACTTTTCTGAGGATTGAGGCCATAACCAGATAGGCAGGGCTGCTGGCAGGAAATAAATAAGGACCCTAAGCGTTGAGTCTCTCTTGCCAAGAACTCAGAGTTGTAAAAAGATGTGAGGGTGGCTCACTCCTCAATAGGTGCCAAACCGTGTGCAGTAGCTCTTTGCTTAGGTGCATGGCAATGAAAGCCCACTCTATTCTAGTGTCCCTTGGTGGAGAAAGGTCTGGACCACATCTCCATGACCCAGCACTCAGGAAGACATAACATAGATGGTCCCCCTCTTTCTCTGCCTCATCTGTGACAATGACAGGCCATATAGAACCTACTCACACATCAGGGCTCCCTAGACAAGTGGCCAGGGTGTTTAGTCAATGTGAACCAGGAGCCATGGGTCACCACGTCTCTTAAGGTCCTACAAACATACAGTGCTACCATCATCTCTAGAATACTGGTGGCCAGTATAGTCCCAAAACAAGTCAAATTCCCCGAGACTTTGATTTTCAAATACTGGAGTCTGCAGGTAGGTCTCCAACTCTTTATTTCAGTGCCTAAGTCAGTGGCCTGATTTTTCAGAAGGGCTGAGCTCCCCTCCCCACCTACTCCCACAGGGGTAAACTCAGACTGTAAAACACTGACAATGTGAGAGAGAGTGTGGTGATGTTCCCCAGCAATTAATCCCGTTCCCTCATATTTTACTGTTGACAATGTGTCCCAGCAGCCTGGCTGACAAACTAAAAATAATCTGGAGAGCGGTATGGCACACTGAAACTGAGGATTTGGCGCTGTGACAAACCACCTGGGTCTCTGAATCCAGGCTACGTGGTTACGCAGTTTCCAGTCAGAAGCCCACCAAGGTTGCGCTCACAGCATCATTCATCCCAGAACTTTTTTTTTCCTTTGCAAAACCTTATGAAACCAATACAACCTGGGCAATGCATTTCACTACAGACTAGACATCTAAATGGATCAAAGTCAAAAACTCTTGGCACAGAGTAACAGCTTGGAGATGCACTCTGCAACCCATCTACTAAAAACAGTCAGTGCTTGCTGGCAACACACACAATCCATTTAGTCAGGAAGGAACAAGAGGAGGTAGATAATATGTCATGATCCAGTCAGCTCCTTGGAAGAACATAGCAGGGGGTTAATTGTCTTTCAGAAGAGAAAGGGATGCACCTATTTAAGACTCAACAACTCTTTAATTACTGCCTTACCTCCTCTGCCATTTTTAATGCTACAGGTCTGATCAAGGAGAGCTTTAACAGGTAGCACTGTATAAGCAGGTCACAAGGTAACAAAGACCCAGCTCATAATAAGAGGGGGCCCTCAGCACAAGCTGCTTTAAATACAAAGTCTCAGTATATCACTGCTGAAGTCAATAGCCTGAGTGATTTATAGCAGTTGAGGAGCTAATCTAAGCATCTCCTATATGAGAGGAGTCCTAGCTGGGGCTGCACCTGGGTCAAGGTCTTCAAAAATACCTCAGTGAACCAGGCACAAGTGGGCTGGGGGTAAAAAAAAAAAAAAAAAAATCAATCAAAGCTTTTTTCTTTTTAATGAGTTTCAGTTAAAGTATCTTTTTCTGCAGGAAGTATGCGTCTTGCTCAATTTTGTTTCTCATGTAGTTTTTGGGGGGTGGAAGGGAAAAGATTTAGGACTTTTTCTTGGCAGAAAACATAAGAAATCTTGGGGGGAGGGGGTAATTTGTTTATTTGATTGTTTTTGAACATTTCAAAAAATATTTGCTGGCACATTTTTCTGCAGGGAAAAAAATATCTTGACTCAAGTCCCACGGATTCCTAAGAGCAAGGGCCTCCTGAGTTTTAACACCCAGAGCCCTTCAAATCTGAATCTGGGTTGGCCGTGTTCCTGGCAAAGCCTTGAATGACTGCTGTGAATAAAACCTTTATGCCCTGCCACAACATTTATATTGAACAGGATTCCCCCGGTAGGGCCAGAGCCCATGGCTGAAACCAACAGC